GCCTGGTGGAGCTAATGTAAAAGATGTGGAAGGTCCCCAACAGCACAAGGCTGTGGAAGATCCTGGAAACTTCAAAAGTTCAGAAACTCAGAGGCTGAGATCACTCACTTAGGAGTTAGGGTTTGAGCCTGGCCTTGAAAAATGAGTAAAACTGAGGCAGAAAAACAGAGGAGATTGAAGTGAAAACATATTTCTTAACAGTGAAAAGCATGGGCTCTAGCATCTGACTAATGATAATCAACCACTTGGCATTGCACTCTTGACTTCACCCCTCTGTGCCTCTGTTTCCACATCTGCATGGGAATGATGATAATATTAGTATCTATCTGAGTGTGTTGGGAAGATGACGTCAGTTGATTTGTATTATGAATTACATAATGCCATGCTTGATATACAGCAGATAATCCGTGTTAGCTGTGATTGCATGGAGCAAATGTAAAGAAAGCACATTTCAGAGTAGTCTTCATCTTGGGGTCATTTATTTTTAACTTGATTATTCAGACAAATTAACTTTATTAGAAAACTTTTAAAAGTAAATCACATAGGGCCAGGTGCAGTAGCTCATGCCTGTAATCCCAGCACTTTGGGAGGCCGAGGCAGGAAGATCACGAGGTCAGGAGTTCAAGACCAGCCTGACCCAACATAGTGAAATCCCATCTCTACTAAAAATACAAAAATTAGCAAGGCGTGGTGCCATATGCCTGTAGTCCCACCTACTCGGGAGGCTGAGGCAGGAGAATCACTTGAACCTGGGAGGCGGAGGTTGGGGTGAGCCGAGATCGCCCCCCTGCACTCCAGCCTGGGCAACAGAGCAAGACTCTGTCTCAAAATAAATAAGTAAGTAAATAAATAAATCAATCACATAAAATGAATTCATTTAGATTTATATGAGAAATCATAGGAGGGTGGTGTGCTGGTTTTACTATCTTTTTTTTTTTTTTTTTTTGACGATCAATGGTAAAGGGAACCTATTATCTTGGTCAGCACAGGCCGCCATAACAAAATACTATAGACTGCATGGTTCATACAAAAGGAATTCATTTCTCACAGGTCTGGAGGCTCAGAGTCCAGGATCATGATGCCAGCCTGCTCAGGTTCTTAGTAGAAACCCTCTTTCTGGCTTAGATGGCTGCCTTCCTGCAGTGCTCTCATATGCAGATGGGCGGGAACAAGCTCTGGCTCTTCTTAACAATGCACTAATCCTATCATGAGGACTCCATTCTCCAATCATCAAAATCCAATTGCTTCCGAAAGGCCCCACATTCTAATACCATCACATTAAGGGTTAGGGCTTCAATATATAAATTTGGACACACACATTCAGTCCATATTACATTTAAAAGAAAAAGGAGAAACAAAAAATTCAAACTGATATGTTATGTACCGTCCTATGGATGCAAGTGTTTATAAGCTAAAGCTTTAAGACTAAGAGAAAGTTGATAATAATAGTGGTGACTTTGAAGATTAAAATGTAACTTTTCTGGGCAAAAAGATTATTACATCTTTCAGAGTGTGGGAAGATATGGAATCCAGAGATTCTGGTGGTGTGGAAGGGTGATGAGACTGGGGAAAAAAATCATTGTTCTTCATTCTTTTTAGGTAAATATGCTTATAGTCATCTTAATAATTATGAATAACTAGATTATTCTGTGATAAAATGTCTCGTAGGTTTAGCTTGTGCATGCCAAGCAGATTTGTGATTTGTGGCGACTCCTGTTGCATAGTTGGTTGGTGTGCCAACCAATGCCTAAAGTGTCTCTCCAGCACCTTGGTGGGCAACCTGTCTGTCCCCTCCCCTCCCATTTTGCTCTTCTCTCCCTCTTTTCCTTCTGCAACCCCAGCGGAGGTCCCCAGTCCCACTGCCCCTGCTGTGGCCAGGTGCTGGAAATCTCCCTCTCAAATCTTCCAAATTTGTCGGGGAGGGGAGGAGAGGTGTCCCAGGGATCCCAGGTAAAATGGGGAACATTTCACGTTGAAGCAATAAACATTGCAAAGCAGTTAATTTCTGTAGAAATTGCAGCACCAGAGAGAGTAGGTTTACTCAAAAGCAAATGGGACTTAGACCTTCATTTACATGAGCCCAACATTTTGTACTTTTGTATTTCTTACTTTGAAGGTAGCTCCCCAAATTGTTTCATGACCTTCATTTACATTAGCCTCTCCTAAGGGGTTTTAGTACTTTTGTGTTTTTTAATCTTGAAGGTGGCTTCCCAAATGTTAAGTACTTCAAACCCTGCAAAATCTGGATTGTCTCTGGTCATCATGGTCATTTAATTGTGGGATTCCTTCCATGGGCTTCTGTAGGCTAACCTGAGAACCTTACTAACTATATAAAATGTTGCTTCTATGGAATAGTTTCTATGAGAAACAGACAACACAACACATATATAATCTTTTCTTGTATTAATGGATTGTCTGATCTCTAGGTACTTAATAAATGTGTTTTGATTGATGATGAAATAAATGAAGGGAAAATAGATAAACTTGAAGCACTTATTGAGTGCTTCTCTCTGGATGGTGGAATTATGATTTTCATTTTCTTTGTACTTAGTTTTTTTCAAACGTTGAAAATTTCCACAATGAGCCTGTATTATCTTGAGTAATCTAAACCTGGCTTTAAAAGTTTGTAGTATAGCTGTTCTTTCATCTACACATGTAGTGCTTCTTCTGTGGCCTTCTGTTAGTTCTGAGGATAAGCCAAACAAACCCAATAGTCCTGCTCTCAAGAAATCTACAGTACCAACCACTGTCTGAGCCCTGAAGGGGTATACCGGTCAGCCTTACAGAGCTCTGTCTATTCAGGGTGGTTTGTGTAGATGAGGGAAGGAAAAAGGAGGGAAAGAAGAAAATTCATTGTCCTCAAAGATCCTTTTATATAGGTGTACACACACACACACACCCCTCAGTTATGTATTTATTTCATTTTACCACAGGCAAAATTTTCAGGCATGGCATAAAATCCCAAGGGAAGAGTGGACTACATTTGAATAAATCCAGCAGCTGGATCCATTCCCCTCCCTAACTTGTCAGAAGGAATGGAAAGAGAATAAAATTCTACCAAATTTGAGTTTAAAAGAATCAAGTTTGAAACAATAGCTTCTATTTATTGAGTTCTCATCATGTGTCAGGCACTATGCAAAGTGTACTTCATGCATTGCCACCTCATTTTATTTTCTTTTTAACGTCACAACGAGGTCAGGCGTGGTGGCTCACGCCTGTAATCCAAGCACTTTGGAGGCCAAGGCGGGCGGATCACCTGAGGTCGGGAGTTCAAGATCAGCCTGACCAACATGGTGAAACCCCATCATTAAAAAAACAAATAAAAAACAAAAAACAAAAACAAAACAAAACTTCACAACAAACTTATGAGATAGGAATGATCATTATCAATCCCCTTTACGGATGAGGAAAGAAGAAATGAAACAAGTCACCTATGGTGAAGGGAATGGGGCTGGCTGCCCCTGATTGAAATCCCAATTTGTCTACTCTTCCTTCTTAACTGCTCCTTTCCAAGAGGCTAGACTACAAAGAATTTGGGCTCCAAGAAGAATGAACCAGAATATGGATATTTTGTAAAAATGGAATGTAAGTTCAGGTTCCTGAACAATGTGATGTTAGGCAGGGTGCGGTGACATTGGCCTATAGTCCCAGCTACTGGGGAGGCTGAGATGGGGAAGATCACTTCAGGAGGATCTCTTGGGCCCAGGAGTTCAAGTCCAGCCTTGGCAGGAGACCCCATCCCTGAAAACAATAAAAATTTAAAAAACAACAATGGAAAACTAGCCTTTTAATTTAAAAAAAAAAAAAGGTGGAAAAGGGAAAACCAGTTTTCAAAAAAGGCCAATTTCCTAGACATTAGTGATTACTAACACATTTCATTACACAAAATTATGAATTTGCTTTTCTCGTCAGTGTCACCACTTTGATGTGTCCTTTTCCGTTTTCCAACTTCATCCTGGCCGAATGTGGGAAATTATCTGGCTTGTGGATAATCCGCAAAGCCCAGGGAGGATCTTTTGCCCCTATTGTTTTCTTGGGTGTTCTCACTCTGGGGGCCTGACATTCCTCGAGTGTCTAAGGCAATGAGAGAGCAGTGAAGCGCGGGGTGGTGGGGGGGAAGCCGCACAAAAAAACATCCAAAGGCTATCCCGGGAAGAGGAGAAAAATACCCTTTACCAGAAGGTGGGAAATTGATTGGGCTGCTGTGAGGGTCCACAAAGAACTGGACGGATGCAGTGGCGGATGGCGATCTCTCTGGACCACTCCGGACGCGCCCAGCAGACGCAGCCTACGCCTTTAGGTCCTAGGAGGCTGAGGAGGGTGGGGGGCGGAGTGCAGCACGATCCTGTCTTTCCTCCGGGTGCCGCTTCTGCCGAATCGCGGATGCTTCGTTCATCCTGCGGGCGCCGCAGCTCTGGTCAGTGTGGGGGCGGACCGCGGCGGGGCCCGGGCCGGTGGGCTGTCCCGCCGTTCAGCCTGGCCTGGGAGAGGAGCGGCTGCGCGGTGGGCCGAGGACGCCCGGCCTTCCCTCCGTCCGCTTCCAGGAGGCACAGCCCCGAGGCTGGGCCCAGGGCTGACCCGAATCTCCCCTAGAGCTGGGCCCACCCGGCTGCCCGTCACCGCTCCCACGCCACCGCCCGAGTGACAGGCCCGAGAAGGCCGGACGGGACGCGGTCTTCCCGCCGGGGTCCTCCCTCCTGCTGGGCGGCCGCTGCAGGGCGCGCGCGCACACACACACGTACACACCACACACAACCGCACACCCCCGCGCGCTTCCCGCCCCGCAGCCCGAGCAGCCCCCAGCCAGCTCCCCTGCGCGCCACGCCCCGGCGGCCTCCGCAGGCCCCGCCCCGGGGAGGGGAGCGAGGCGCGCGCGGGAGCCGGGCGCGGGGAGGGGCCGGCGGTGGGGGAGTGTCCGCTGCCCCCGCCCCTCGAGTGAGTGACTGGGCGAGCAGCTCCCCTCCCTCGCTCGCTCCCCGCCAGCTCCGGCTCGCTCCCTGCCCACTCCCGGGGGAACGTTCCGTGCCGCGGCCGCCGCGGCCGCCGCTTCTTTCACACTTTAGTTGGGAGCTGCGCGCCGCGCTCAGTTACTGGAGACCTGGCCGCGCGCCGCCGCCTCCCGCACGCTCGCACGCGGGCCCGGCTCCGGGGTTTTGGGTTCTTACTCCAAGCGGCGGAGAGGAGGGGGAGCCTCGGACACACTGTGGGGACGAGGAGGAAGAGGAGGAGGAGGGAGGAAGAAAAACGGCGAGGAGGACAGGGGCGGGGGGCGGGAGGCTTGCTACCTTCAGCCCCCCCGCGAGCGCCCGAGGTAAGCGGGAGCCATCGCCTGCTCTGGGGCGGGGGGAGCTGGCGGTGCAGCCCGCCCCGGCTCGGCTCCCCGGGCATCCCCGGGTGGGCAGGGAGGGAGGCCTGCGGGGTGTCTGCCGCGCGGAAGGGATGGGAGCCGCGGTCGTGGCGCTGCCGGCGCGGGGCCCGGGCCGGGGCTGCTGCTGGTGCGGGGCTGGCGGGGCTGCTGCCGGGGACGGAAGCTGGGGTGGGGTGGCCGCGAGGGGCGTCTGCCGGCCGGGGCGGAGGGGCTGGGATGCGGTCGGGGCTGCTGACGACTTTCGTCACACCGAGGCCTGGGTGGCTGGTGTTAGACACCCCTCCCTTCCCACCCGCACCCCGCCGCCCTCAGCCTTCCTGCTCTCCTCTAGCTTTGCTTGTAGCCGCCGTACTTTGCAAGCCAGAGCTTGAAAGAAAAAAAACACCATTTAGGATCCTTCGCTAAGTGTCCGAGTCCCTTCTCCCGCTCCGACTGATTGATGTGTTTGCGTGGGTGGTGCGACCCCCCCGGGGTTTCTGAAGTTTTGACCTTTTTGAGGTGGCTGGTTTCGGTGCATCTGCTTGCCCACCTCGGTGTATTTATTATTCTTGCCCATGCGAGGCAGCCAGAGGGTGCTTGGTTATTGTACACGAAACAGATTTCCCTCCCCTCTGCAGGCAGTTCGCGAAGTGCCGCCGCGGCTGCCTTTGGTCTGCTGGTTACTGTCCTTTCCCGATCATCCACCCTGCCCCCTCCCTCCACGGAGGGTTGGTTTTTTGTTTTTGTTTTTACTTTTTCCTTTCCCACTTACTGTTTATGACAGAGAAGTTCTGGCTTAAGGGCTCTCATCACCCATTCATTTCTTTTCTAAAGGTCTGAATGGCTCAGTCGTGTCGGTAAAATTTGGGGTGGCCCTCTTTGCCCCAAGAGTTGCATGGCCAAAGACAAAAATTCGCCCTCATAAACACGCATTAATTCTGAGAGATGGGGAGCACAGTTTGAGAGAGAAATAATTTGTTTCCAATAGTAAGTCGGTGACCTGTGGGATCTCTTCCATTGCCTGTGGGTTAGGAAAATTGTTTTAAAATAGTGCTTGTGTTGTCTGTGGCTGGAAGACAGCCATAGTTCAGTTACTGAAGCAACTCTGAAAGTGATACACCCTGGGCACCCAGAACCTCAGTAGAGACACACGTAGTGTGACTCAGATATTGGGAGGGGTGGCTGACACGCCACAGATTCCATGGAGTACTTTTTTCTTTTTATTTTTTTGTAAGGAGACTGTCCAGCCCGTTTGGGGAAATGACAAGTTCGTTACACAGGCAGATGTAATGATTACCTCCTTATTCAAGGGGATGGGCTCAGCTTCTGCCTAATGGGAATAACCTTTTAATTTGATAGCATTGGGATGTACCAGGGTAGAAACAAACATAGGTGGAGTGGGCCTGCCCTACTTCAGCACTGTTGTGGAGAGAAGGTGATGTTTCTGAAGGGTCTTTTAAGCTCAAGATGCTGAGTTTGGGGTTTTTCTCCCCTTTTTCATATGTCTAGAGCCGGATTGTAGGATCAATAGAACATGTTCCGTGTTGGCTGTTTGGAAATGCAGTTGTCAGATATGGAAATTAATTTGGATTGGATCACCTATTTTTATTTTGCTACTTACAAAGTAGGAAGTACCAGTGATAGGACAACCGAGTGTATTTATAGGCGTTAAACCAATGCTGGGACTGGCACTTCACAGATCACAAATGCATCATTGAAATAGAATGTCACTTAATGTTTACTGCTGTGCAAGCCTGCTTCAGAGAACAGTCCTGGAGGCTTCTGAAAAGGCAATAAAGACCAGTGCACTCAACTCTTGGGTGGGTGGGTGCCTGAGGAGGGGCGGGGTGTTTCTGTTGCCTAGCTTTATCACAGTTGGGGTATGTTTCCAAAGAAAAATGGCCTTGGGTGGTAGAGAGGTCTCACATCCTTCAGTATTAAAATTTCTTCCAGCTTCCCTCTTCAGGGTTGACTTAATTTAACTCTGAGTTTAGAAAACTGATAATTTTGTTTTCTTGGCTAGAAATGTATCCCTCCTCCCATCTCACTCTATCATTCACCATGGGTTTCTGGGAATTAATAGGCCACTGTCTGAAGGGGTTTGAGCTTCTTGAAGAATCACAGGGCATAATTCAAGACCTTTGGTACTATTTGCCCCAACTGATTCAAAAAGCCTGCTAAGGAGGAAGATGGTTTGCACCATTATGGATACAATTTCCAAGTGGATCATATCTCAGCACTGTGTTGCATTTGTGAACAGGCAAGCTTTGAGTTTTATATTCTGAGTGGCTTGCTCCAGGCTCTAAGCAGCCCTCTTCTATGAGGTGTGTTTTTTTTTTTTTTTTTTTTTTTTTTTTGTCTGAAGAAGGAGATACCAAAGGCTGGGAGAGAGAATGTCATGTCACCTTCCAACAGGGCAGGAGAACGAAGGTGACATATTTACAGAAGAGTCCTAAGGTGATAAGTATGACTGTCTTCATTTGAATTTATCAATGCAACTTACAGCCATATAATGAGGCGTCACGTGTAGCTCATAGGTTTCAGTACAGAGGTCTTGGAGCTCTGTATCCTTTGAAGTTTCCTTCCAGCTCTACTTTGAGGGTGGCCCTAACTAAGGGGTAACAGCACAGTAATTCTGGAGGGACATGGTAGAAGGAGAATGCCAGTTAACAGAGAAATTGGTCAGACATCACTGTCTTATGATACTTTGTTTTACTCCAGCTTCTTAAAACCAAATATGAAGGGAGGAGGGAGCATTACTTTGTGTGTATTTTTCTCTCCTGATGTTTAGCTGATATCTCAGAGTGTGGTCACTGCTTATTTTAGGTAATTTTAAATTGTTTCCTTCTGTACCTCATCATCCAAACTCATCAGAGAGTTGTTAAGAACCGGTGTGTACCCATGGACAGGCTGCAGGCTCCAGCAAGCGCTCTGAGCAGCACAGTGCTGATTATCTATCAGAAGCGAGGGTATGGCAGTTCTGATCTTACAATGCAAGTTTACATGAAAATAATCTGTATGTAAAAGTTGATTTGCCTCCAGTTTTTCAGGAACATATTGACTATGTAAATCAGCTTATGCATCTAGTCAATAGGAATTCACTCAGAGATATTGGGCTAATCAGTCTTCACGGAAAGATACATCTCCTAAAAATATTATTTTGGAAATGAATATAGTGAAGCGTCCCTCCCAGGGTGACGGAAGGGTTACATGATATATAACACGGGTGGGAGGACCCTAGCAAAGTACATGGTGGGTTTTCAGATGTTTCACTGACGATTTTTGTCCAGTTTTACTGTGTAAAGATACTTTTATTAGTAGATTTTAGCAAACAAATACATCTTTGGCCATTCTTTGGACCTCAGTTTTAAAAGTCCCATAGCATGGAGTAAATAAAAATCGTGCTTAATTGGATTCTCCACAAAACACAAAAAGCAGATTGCAATAGACCAGTATAAAGTACTGCTTAGAAAACTTCAAAAACAGGGGTAGGGCTTGTGCACAAGAACAATTGCGACAGTGAAACTATATTTTAAAAAATGGTGACAGTTCTGACTTCCAGAGATCATAATTCAAGAGCTTACTGAACTGGCATGTAAATTATATACATACATATTTTTTAAAGTAGGCAATTATTTAGCTTGACTATCTCGGTTCTGAAGTCTGATTTTACAAGTTATAGTTGCAACAAGAAACAACATGACATGCTGTGGTTATGCAATTATGACAGGAGTGATTGGATGTAAACTGGGCTAGGATAAACATAGAAATGAACACACAACAGTGTCTGCAGTCACCAGGTATTAAGAAGTTTCTTTGCTTTTTTATTAACTACGTCGCTAGAAAATGTATTTCCCAGGTTGTAGGTTAATAACCTAAAATAAAGATTGCTTTCTCTTACATTTGTGAAAGGAGATGCAGCTTCCTTGATCTGAAATGGAAACTGAGAAGATTAATTGGCCAAGCTTCTGGAAGGCTGGGCCTTTTCGCACATCTCGGCAACCCCCATAGCAGCTAGCACACTACCTTGCACTTGGAAGTCACTCAGTGAGTGATTGAACGGAATGGAATTTACCTAGTTAGTTAAGATCTGCAATGTGTCAAAACTTCCTTGGAGAAATACACTAGATGAGGACTTAAGTTTTAATAAATGTGTACAGTAGTTTATTAAGAGCCCCATATTATGCCTCAGGTAGGATTTTTAAATGTTGAGACGTATTTGACAGGAAACATACCAAGCATCATGTCCTCTCAAATTACTGGAATTTTTTTTTGTTTTTTTGTTTTGTTTTGAGATGGAGTCTCGCTCTGTCACCCACGCTAGAATGCAGTGGCGCAATCTCACTGCAGTCTCCACCTCCTAGTTCCAGGCAATTCTCGTGCCTCAGCCTCCTGAGTAGCTGGGTTTACAGGCATGCGCCACCATGAGCGGCTACTTTTTGTATTTTTAGTAGTGACGGGATTTCGCCATGTTGGCCAGGCTGGTCTCGAACTCCTGACCTCAAGTGATCTGCCTGTCTTGGCCTCCCAAAGTGCTGGGATTACAGGCAAGAGCCACTGTGCCTGGCCCTCAAATTACTGGAATTTCTAGTTAGGGGTATCTTGATTTGGAATAGATACAATTTCTGTATTTGACAGCTGTTCCTTCCCTTGTGACTGTAGCTGTGGTCTTCATCTTATTTGCCAGAGGGATTCAGTGAATAACAGTGCCCAATATTTATAGTGTGCCTTATGGTTTTCAAAGTCCTTTTCTGTATCCTGTCTCATTCAACATTTGGCTGCAACCGTAGCAATCAGGGCTTTCCATGCTGGGATCTTTCCCAGAATGTGCCTAGATCAAGGAGTGGTGGAGAGGTCAGGGGAAAGCTCAGGAAGCCCCCTACTTCTTAATTTATTAGATTCACTGTTGCTTTCTCTAAGATAATTTGAATAAAGTGGAACTAAGCAGTGTGTACATGTGGACA